AACAATACTCTTGTTCATGCAAAAGTGAATTAAACCTCACCAAGTAATGTTTGTCATCCATGTAATAAAGCTAGTTGTCAAACCTGCAAATTCATAAAAACTACTGACTCTTTTTCTGACAAGCACAACCAGAGAATTTTCCAAATTTCTAAAGAAAGTTAGTTATACAAAATACCATTTATCTTACACAGTATAAAAATGCAATCACCAGTATGTACGATATACCCAAATGACTCTTAGAGAACGTTTCGGCAACCATAAGTTTTTTAACACCGAGAAAGATCTCCCAATTGCTCAACACTTCAAACAACCCGATCATTCTATTAACGATGCTATTCTAATCGCCATTGAAACCGACTTTAAAACTAAAGCTGATAGAGAGATAAAAGAAGCTAATTGAAATGCTAATCTAAATGCTGTTCAACCTAATGGAATAAATCTGGATCCTGAAATCATTGATCTCCGGTCGTGGGCTTGTTTGTTTGGGGTTAAGCACAAAGCTACACGATGGGCTATTTGTGTTCTGCCCACCACGGGTATCGAAACCCAGTTTCTAGCGTTGTACGTTCGCAGACATACTACTGTGCCACTAGGGGGCCACAACAATGGCAACTGCATAGATAACATAATGAAGTTCTAGACAAAACAATAAAAAATATTTATATATGTTTTACACAGAATACAAAATAAAAGACGAGTTACTGCCCAGTGTTATAATAATTTACGGAAAGCTATTTAAACAGCACGTATATTATACAGAATTACTTGTGAAATTACGTTGTTTTTGGAAAGTGTTGTCATCTAGTGCGTACGTTACCTACTGATCAAATAGTTTTTTGTTTCTTTTGTGTGTCGGAATGATTAAGCAACAATTCAAAAACACACACAAATAGTTTATTTAGGATAATAACTTAAATATTCTTTATAAATATGAATGTATTAAAGATTCAGAGATCTTACAGTACATATTATAATGAAGTATTTTGCTTTGATATTAATACTATTTGTTCTATGAAATAGGTACTTTGTAAACTCATTAAAAATGCTTATTAATATAACCACAAATTTGTTGATATCAGTTTGACTACTTCTTTGTAGTCTAAAAATACCTTTTGAGGTGTACTGAGTATGATAATTCGAAATAATGCGAATGTTATGCTTCTAGTTAAGATTTAAAACAATAAGAAGAAAAATATGCAGTTTGCTTGATTCTCAAATTACCGACTTTTGTACACACCCTTCACCATCAATGTGGTTCACATATTGTATTACACTAAATAATTATATGTTTTCACTTGTTACAGCACCCATTGTAAATAATTAACAAAAACAAATTGGATGAAATCACCCATTTTCTATATAGCATACTTAGTAATCCCCATAAGCAAATAATAGGAGTAACTACGCAGTGTGACAGTATTTTTGTTTGCATTTTTTGTGATCCATATTAGGGAGTTATGCAGTCAATAAAGTCATGATCCCACAAGCAGTTTCGTGCATAAATATTTTAGAATAGGTATTTACAGTGCGGATTTAGAGGAAGTTCAACCCATGCAATTGCATGGGGGCTTCAGTTTTGAATCACCCTAGGAAAAGGGTCTCCAGCATGGCAGTATTGCATGTGATCCTCAAAGGGTTTAAATCTGGTCCTGAGTATTTATGAGGTTAAAACTACTGAACATTGAATATTCATATTGAAATCAGTGTTCATAAACATTTTTATAAACTGAAACCGTGTAATAATAATATTATCCTTTCCACGTGGTCCATTGATTGCATAAGTCATTATTCAAATACATGACTAGCAATCAAAACCATTGATAATTAGCTTTCCTTGGATTTGAAGTAGACAGACATAATATACGTTTTCTATATTAATATATTAATTCTCAAATTTTTTCGTCTAGTCTTATTTTGTGCTATTTTTGCGTAAACACATAGTCAATAAACAGAAAACCAATGCGTTATTTTCATTTTAAAGGAATCACTGAGACTCCAAACGGAAAAGTTCTGTGAAAAAATTAGAGCGATAAGGTTTGTCATTTTTTATCTACGCTTGTCTGTAAAAGTCACTTATATACTGTTACGATAGCGGGGGTCACGTGACGCTAGTAACGCATCATATTCTCGAACGTTCACGTCCCTTCCTGAAATCTCGAGAGGCTACTAGATATGCGGTAGTATTGTATATATAAGCCGCCAAGAAGTGA